TATGGTCATAGCTTATTTCAGCCGTGCAGGGCTCTTCTCCTGGCAGTTTAGGCCAATCCACTTCTTCCTGGCTCTGTGAGTATTTTGCCTCCTCCAGTTGGTCTCTGTCCCCTGCCCTGAGTGTGTGTGTGTGTGTGTGTGTGTGTGTGTGTGTGTATCACACAAAGTAGGCCTCTGGCCTGTCCCTGTAGCATAAATGTCCTTAAACTGTTCTTTATTATTATTATTATTATTATTATTATTATTTTAAACTAACACCAGCTAGAAATTTGACAAGGGCTGGAGAGATGGCTCAGTTGATAAAATACTTGCCATGCAAGCATGAAGACGTGTTCAGATTTAGCACCCACATGAAAGTAGTGAGCCAGGTGCTTGAATTCCAGGGCTATGGGGTCAAGTAAAGGAAGATCACCTGGGGATCAGAGCAGCCCCCTAGCCTAGCATGTGAGATTGAGGTCCCAGGGAGAGAGACTGTTACATGAAACAAGGTAGACAGCTCCTAGGAAAAACTTAGGGTTGACTTCGAGCTAAATGTAAGTGCTTAATTGTACACACACACACACACACACACACACACACACACACACACACACATACTAAAAATATGAGATAGGTTGTAGCCTCTGGTCTTCTCTCCTTTTTCTCAGTCCCATCACAGTGGACACTTGTTGAAAGCAAGAGCTTGTCAAACATCCAGTCATTCTTGGGACACTTCAATTCTGTTTTTTTTAAGTATTTATTTATTTATTAAGTATACAGAAGAGGGTGCCAGATCTCATTACAGATGGTTGTGAGCCACCATGTGGTTGCTGGGAATTGAACTCAGGACCTCTGGAAGGGCAGTCAGTGCTCTTAACCTCTGAGCCATCTCTCCAGCCCCAATTCTGTTTTATTTTGGAGGTGTTTCTGTGATAAACTCAGTCAATGAAGTAATCAACATTGCACATGCCTTATCTATCACTTCCATTCATTTATTCACTCATTCAGCGGTTCATTTAACACATTCCAGAAAGCATGCCCTTAGTGTCACAAAATGTGAGGTAACACTGGGGCAGATCTCAGAAATGTCAGCTGAGCATCAAGGAGAGAACAAGGAGGGAAGACAAGCAGGGTCAGGCCTGACTCTGGGATGCTCATTCTGGGGCAGGACACAGGTGTGTGGACACAGCACATGTCCAGGGAAGGGAGAGGGTGGAGTCAGCTCTCTGGTGAGAACCGCAGAAATAGCACTGGGCTCTGCCAATGACTTGTCTGCTCGGTTGATGTGATCCCCGTGCTGAGGTGCCCCGCTGGCCCTCCTTCTGGGTCCTCCTGAGCCTTTCACGACACTCTAATTTCTTCCCCAGGTACCTGGCCAATGACATGGAGGAGGACAACCAGGCCCCTAAACAAGACATTTTTTACTTCCTCTATGGGAAGAGCTATGCCCAGCGCCCCATGTTCCACAAACTGCGGTTCCAGCTCATTCGGTCCATGGGCTGGAGGATCTGGGTATCCCGGGAGGAGTGTGAAGAGGTAGGTGGGTGTGGGGCACATGGGGTGCAGAAGGGCAGGCTGGACAGACAGAGAGAAATGCGGTTGAATATGGGAGGTGGGATTTGGGGAATGGGAAACCTTAAAGCTGAAAAGGAAGCGTAAAGGTGTTGGAGGGGGCACATGACATTGCTCAGGGATCCGATTCTCTCTCTAGATCCAGGCTTACAACCCAGAGCTGTGGGTGTGGGCACGAGATCGCACCAACTTGAACTTAGAACCATAAATCCATAGAGGCTTGAAGTCATCGGCCTGAGGAAGGTATGTTGGTGTTCTCTGAGGTGTGGAGTCCTGTCTGTGGTCTAATTAAGAAAACCTCTAAGCTTCCACTTAACCCACCCTCATCCCACACTCGCCTCCATCCTTTGAAATAGCCTAGCCAGTAGCATAGATGTATCTGTCCCATCACTACACACACACACACACACACACACACACA